TCATGCTCATAGTGACAGGCATCAGTGATTTATCACTGCCTGCGTGCCTGGAGGGTTCCCCCTTCCCTGACAAAAATCCAACAGCTATTGATTTCCCTGCAATATCTTTATTCGGTTTGTCTACAGTAACTTATGTGCTAAGGAAAAACATCTCAGCACAAGCTATGGGGGAGCTGGGCAGCATTCTCAGGCTTTTCCCCAGCTATCCTCAGCTCAGATCATTCTGGAAGTAACAGGTAGCTTGCCTAGGCACTAGGGTGCACAGGGTATGTAGATACAAGGGGGGTGAGGCTGAAGGGGCATGCACTTTTAACTATCTACAAACAACTAAAAACCCTATAGGACTGGGCCAGAAACACTCCATGCATTTAACTGCTTGTTCCTCTGCTGTAATTTTCCCTGTTGTACAGAGGCACTGAGAAGCACCGGCTCCATCTATTCCATTTTGTCCCTTGACAGCATGGGATATTCAGCCTCCTCACTTGTTTTCCACACCATCCATCCCAGTTGAATAAAGACACTGAGTAGAGGCTGAGTACAGCCATTACATTCAAGATGATCACACATAACAAATACACTTGGCCAACTGTTTTATCACTCACTTTCCCACTCCTATGCTGAAAGCACTGAAGAAAAGAGGGCTGAGTGTGAGCATGGGGGAGGACTTTCTGTTCTGGGGTTCTGGGAAACTGTCTGTGTCAGCAAAAGTGAAAGTCAGCCATACACTGAGAGCACAGGAAACAGTATGTCATGCCTTCCAAATGCACAAAAGCAGAGTGGGATAAAGCTCTTTTGCAAGCATGGTGATGCTCATTTTCTTTGGAGCTGAAGGAACTTATACCTTTGCATATTGCTTTAGACATGACCAAGCCAAACCCTCTTCTGAAACAGTGTGCCAGGCCTGCCCCTTGACTAGCAAGGCCTTAATCAAAATTTAAGTTGAAACTGGGCCAAAATCCTTAAGTGAGATCCATGTCACAAGAAACCTGCCATCCTCCTAACACAAATATTAGCTGTTAACAACCCTGTGAGGTGAGGCATGCAATTATTGCTCTCCCCCATTTTACAGAATGGAAACTTAAAATGTCCCAAATGTTCAAAAGTGACTAGCTTCTTGGGATGCCTCAGCTTTTGGGAGCCTCAGTTGAGATGCTTTAAAGAGGCCTCATATCCCAAATGTGCTAAGAGTGGATACTCTTAGTACTTCAGGCCATCCTACAATGTCTTGAGCTGGAAACCACAAAGGCTGAGGTGTTAATATCGACCATTAACCACTTTGAAAATGTAGGCCTACGAAACCTGCTTCCAACTGTAGAGCAAACTTGTGTCAAATGTAGAACTCAGGTCTCCCAAATTCCTGGTGTAGACGGCTTCCATACACAACACAGCAAGCCACAGAAAGGTCACCACCAGCCTTATCACTGGTTTATTGATAACATTATACATCTCAGTAGCATGTTTATTATGTAAATGAGCCCAATGGGATAATGGTAGAAACACAGGTCATGGAAATCTTTTCCTGCTTTTCGAATTATATTCCAGAATTATATTACACGTTTCAAGGAGATTTCTTACAGGCTGCAATCCTCAGTGTTGTTTCATTCTTGCCAAGGAAAGAAATGGGGAAGGCGTTAACCTGGCTGCTGGGTTTTGCTTATGTTTTCCTATCCCTCATGAATGGCTGAGTCATTTTCATATTTTGGTTTCCTTTCAAAGCTAAACTAAGAGCACCGTGCTGCTGCCACGTTCATAAGCCTGATTCGCTATTGTTTTTACTCTAAGTTTAGGACTTCCAGCTGTATTAAATGAGTGCAAGACATGGGCAGGTCAGGGCCAATGCTTTTAAAAAGACAAGAACTCTTGTAATGTGCTAGCTCCCTTGGGGAAAACAAGCACGTGGATTTATAAAGCATTTATGCTCTGCTGCACTCCAGATTAGGACCAGTCTGCCTTCAATTTCTGGTCAATATGGCATAACTGACTTGTTTCATTGAAGTCCTAGTACATAAAGCACAATGCCAGATATGAAAAGTTAGTGCTCTCTATGCTCAGCCATTCAACCCCCTTTTGCTTTACCAGAATTCAGAGCATAAATTATTTTAAAGTCTTCCTAGTCAATAGACTATTCAAAAACCTCATCTGCCTCTCTGCAGGTGCAACAATCAGAGGTGGTTTTGAGACAGCAAGCAATTAACACTAACTGCATCCCAAGAGGTGCCTGATGAATTATTTGAGGAAGTGCTGCTTGTCTTTTGAAACATGCACAATGTTTTCAACAATTTAACACCATGTTTAGCACAGTATGTACGGTATGTTTAATCAACCTTAAACAGGGTAAATATGCGCTTTTATAGACCATCTCTTTCTCTATATATGTATATAGTTAGCTAGTCTATAAAGGTGCATATCTACCCTATCTTCTGACTGACTTCAGGCTAATAAGGCTAACCACCCCTCTAACCAATGCTATATGTCATTACAAGGTAATTCTCCATCTGGACCAAGTCAGTTTGGTAATACTGACACCCCTATTCTAAAGAGGAGAGAGATCTGTAACCAAAATATGGTGAAAAATAAGTTTTTAATAAAAATCCAAGCATTCTATTTTGATGTTGGCTCTGATCTGTAAAAACTGGCCATGCATTTCAGTATTCACATTTGGGTAAGTTAACGTAGCAATACCTAAGTTCTACCTACATTTTTCAGAGAGCAGTAATCTTTAATATTTACACTAGATAAAAATAATGAGGGCATGGGAAATAAGTCCTTCCTCCCCCTTCCTTTATAAAGCAGATGTAATTTATTTCTCATTTTCTCAGCTTTGCTTTTTTGGAGGGGGGGATGCTATTTTATTCATTTCTATCGCATTGTCTTTAACAAGAGGGACTCCATGTCCTACCTCTGTCTCTGAAACTATAAATATTAATCACAGAGCTAGTTATCTGAAACAATTTTTTTCTTCTTACCAATTTTCAAATGCCCTTTTTTCTTAATGGCTTTATTGCTTTACAGAAAAACAAATTATAAACATAGAGTAGAAAACCAGCAGAAATTCTTTCTTTAGCTTTAAAGTCGGTCTTGTTAATAATAATTAAAAAAGAAGTAAAAACACTGATTCATTGTAGTTTGTTCACACATTGCAGAGAACTCTCCTGCAATTGCAGGAGAGGCTGGAGTAGGTTAGCTATTCTCAGAGGTCTTTTCTATTTCCAGGGCCAGATCTTCAACGTTTGTTAACTGGAGCTAAATGAATTAACACAAGCTGAGTATCCTTTGCCCATCCTATACTTGATTCTATGATAAATCTTCTGCAGGTGTTTGCACACTGTTGAACAAGTGAAAACCAGTTTCAACCATCAGATTGCATGTGTGAAAAAACAAAGCATACAAAGACAAGTTGAATGGAAATGAAATGTGGCCTGCTTCTAAATTTTAAGACTTTCTCTACCAGCCTTATTTTATGCAGAAGATGCAGCCAGGCAGAACTAAAGCAAATTGGTTTAATTCCCTCGAGGAAACATGAACAAAATTTCCCAGCAACTTTCTACTGTGGACATGCATGAGTAGGAATATGAATGGAATGTACAATCAGTGATCTACAAACCAGTAATAAAATTAATATAAACCTTTTCCCACTGCTTTAGGAGTGACTGGGCATTGCCAATTAAGTGCCAGGTGCAGGGGGAAAGGAAATGGTAAAATAAAATAAACAAACTAGAAAATTACTTAAGAACTTAGATTGTATATTCTCTTATGCAGGGACTTATTTTCTTCATAAGTGTGTACAACACTTAACAGATGGTGGCCCCAGTCCTTTACTGGGGTCTCCAGTGGCTGCTCCAATACTAACACTAGAAAATAAGGTCTGTTAGGCAAGAGTATTCAAAACCTAACATGGATGGTTGGCTTGAAGGCAGAAAGTGTTATGAAAATGACACTCCAGAAACAATCCTTTTGTAGACCTCAATTCTGGAAATGCTTTTACCTTTAAACCAGCAAGTCATTCCACAGAAGTCATGGGGACTTGCTTAAGAAATTAAGCAGATGTTCGAGTGTTTGGCTTAGTTAGAGTCTCAGGAAGAATTAAAACCTTCTTTAAGAAAGACCAGTAGCATGAGGGGAAAAGTGCTAACTTTAGGGAAAATATAGCCGGCAGGATGAAAAAGGATCCAAATCTTAGTTAGTTTGGGCTAACTAAGATACTTCAAAGGAATGAGGGGAGCCCATAAAAACTATGTAAGGGTTGAATCAAACAGAAAACCACCATTTTCCAATCTGAATCTCAGCGTCTGGATACAGACAAAGATATAAACCTTCAAACACATTTCACTGCTTTGTGGAACTGGTACTGTAATTAACATTGTAATGTTCCCTACATCTTTTTGCTGAGAACAGCTACCATAATAGCTGGTCTACAATGGAGAGAGAAGCATGAACCAAACAAATGAAAATGTCAAAGGCAGAAGAACTTATAAAAATATTTATGTGAGATTTTCTCTGGCTCCAACCAAACCCTGTATCCATCCTTAATTAACTATAATAAACATCACTAAGCAAAGCCTCCTGGTGAGGGGGAGTTTCATTCACTGAAAATAAGCCAGTACTGAACACAAAAAATATATCCATGCAGTGGATTCCAGCACATGGCTCTGGAGTTTAGGCCAAGGGTAAAATATAGTAATTATGTCCCCTACTCCCTCCACTTCCCAGTGACGTTTTCAAAAGCTAGACTTCTATATCATAATAGGACAACTGAGAAAAGCACTGGGAAATCTGAACTAGGACATTCAGGAGCAATTTTTTTAAACAAAAGTGAGGCCAAATTTATTTTTTTAATGCATTTTCCCCCATTTGCTATCATTGCCATCCTATATAAATTCTGTTATTTTCAGGTTTTATAATGTTGCAAGCATCTACACCCATGTTGACAGCAGATCTCTCAATACAAAGTATGTGCAGCTTGGCCCTATGCCTGTACACAAAGTATCCCATAAAGTTACCTGCACAGTGGAGATAATCCTGGAAGAATCCCTCCCCACATGATGCCACACACTGCCCATGCTTCATTAGCATTGGTCCTTGGCATGATGTACATTCAAATCCACTGGTACAGGTCAGGCATGTTTCCTTGCAGGCTGTCCACACAAAACAAAGGAAAAATATACTGCATTAGCTTAAGATGTTCCTGTACAATGATGCTGATGTGTATATGTTCAGGGGTGGATACAGGGTGGTGCAGTGGTGCAGTTGCAACCCTCCTTTAATTCATGCTGCACTCATTTAGAACCAACTGCCTGGCATGGGCAGTGGTATTTCTATTCAGCCAGTGCTGAGACAGTCATTTGACTTCATGGCTGATTATCATCTCTCTCTTTCCTGATAACATTTCTTCACTCCACAGGTATTAACAACCCATTTCTTCTTTTTAATGGTCTTGATGTTTCACTATTCAAACTATCCTTTCTTCTGCAATTTTGCTGCCTGTTAGCCCTTCCTATTAATGTCTCTCTTCCATTTCACAGCCCTGAAGACTGTTTTCAGCTCTAGCTAAAAACCACAACTCAGTATAGAAATGACTGACAGTGAAGTATTGAATGCACTGTCAAGACACTCAAGAAGGCTAAATTTTGAATCTGAATAAGAGACACATATTTAACTATAATGACTACAGGACTAATCATACAGTATCTTTTGATTTATTTTGACTATTTTTTGTCTAGTGTGCTGTGTCTTTTTAAGCTCGATATATATTATAAATTCATGGGCTCCACAGTTCAGAAAGGACGTGGAGAATCTTGAGGGTAGGGAACACATTCCCTACCCTCTAACACACTACAGGGTAGGAAATGAATCCAGGCCGATCTGGACAGGTTGGAAAAGTGGGGAGAACAGAATAGGATACAGTTCAATAAGGACAAGTGCAAGGTGCTGCACCTAGGGAGAAGGAATCACCAGCATGCTTACAGGCTGGGGGGGGGGGGGACCTTCTCGGCAGCATGGCAGCAGAAGGGGATCTCAGAGTCATTGTTGACAAGATGAAGATGAACACGAGTCATCAGTGTAACTAAGCAATCAGTAAAGCTAACCACAGTTTATCATGCATTAGCAGGAGTATGAAGAACAGGCCCAGGGAGGTGATTTTTCCCCTCTGTGCGGCATTAATCAGACCACAGTTGGAGTACTGCATCCAGTTTTGTGCGCCATACTTCAAGAGGGACGTAGACAACCTCGAGAGGGTTCAGAGGAGGGCCACTTGTATGGTTAGGGGCCTGCAGGCAAAGTTCTACAAGGAGAGATTGAGGGCCCTGGATCTCTTCAGCCTCCACAAATTCATTGGTGGGGAAGGGGCAGCAACGAATAGGAGATGCTCTGTTTACCAGGGCACCCCTTAGAGTAACTAGGAACAACAGCCACAAACTGATGGAGAGCAGATTTAAATTCGACATCAGGAAGAACTTCTTTACGGTAAGGGTTGCCAGAATCTGGAATGGGCTTCCAAGGAAAGTGATGCTTTCCCCTATCTTGAGGGTCTTTAAGAGGAGGTTAGACATGCACCGGGCTGGGGTCGTCTTTCCTGCTCAGGGCACAGGGTCGGTGACTTGGTGGAAGCCAAGGTGTGTGCGTCAGGAACTGGGAAAACATCTGTTCACCAGGGCACCCCAAGGGAAGACAAGGTCTAATGGTCATAAACTGCTGAAAGACCGCTTGAGACTAGACATAAGGACAAACTTCTTTACCATCTGAGTCTCCAGAGTCTGGAATAGACTCCCCCCAGAAGTGGTGCAAGCATCTACTCTGGATACCATTAAGAAATGCTTGGATACTTATCTTGCTGGGGTGGTCTGACCCCAGCTGACTTTCTGCCCCATGGGCAAGGGGCTGACCCTGATGATCTCATGAGGTCCCTGCCAGCCCTAATATCTATGAATCTATGAATTGTAAGGCTGTAAAGGACCTTGGAAGATCATCCGGTCCAGCCCACTGCAGCAGGCAGGAAAGTTATATAAATCTAGCAAATTAGATTGCAATAGTTTAATTTTTTTATTTGATCTTAAACTCAATGATCTATTGCTAGCTCCCTAGCATATTAGTTAAGCTTCTAGTTTCACTTTAACTGGAGAAAAATATATGCTGTGTTTTATGTGATGTGTCACACCATCTGCACCTCCGTTTTCAAAATCCTATATCCAGCCATGTATATCTCCTGTTGGAAGGCTATGTTCAAGGAAGCATGCCCATTCATAGAAGCAGGTGGTGAAAGTTGTCCTTTACTTGAAATATTCTACAAACTGATTTTTTTCAATGCGCTTAATTTAAGGATCCATTGAAGTCAACAGGATTTAAGGGTCAAATTAGAGCCTGGGAGGCTACATTTATCAAATGTAACCTGATCCCTTGGTTTCATGTAAATATGAGTTAAGAAGGAAGACTTTCAACTTCTAAACATATGTGACTGAAGGGGAACCTGAAGAATAAGTCCCTGAAAAACCTGCCAACTAAAGACCCGTGGACACTGCAGAAAATCCACTTAGCTGGTCCCATTCACTAGTTATACCTAAGCAAACTCCAGCATCCTTGTAGAATCCAGGTTCACAGTTCCCCACGCAGTGTCCATTCTGCAGTTGCTTTGTTGCATCCCGGCAGATGTCACAGTGGTCAAAGGACTGAGAGCATATCAAACAGTCTGGGTGGCACTGCACTGCCATGAGAAATAAAAGACAAGAAAGAATCTGTCAACAGTGCATGGTTTGGCACAAGAAGGTTAGAAATGGCATGTGCACAAGAATCAGATCTAGAGCCATCATTTGGTTCATCTGCCAAAGGGTCAAGCCTCTTTTTCCCAAAATAGCACGAGTTACATGCTGTACCACCATATCTTACTCTGTTAGCGATGAAGTTACTAAGAAGTTAATGGGACTCAGATTAAAATACTCAAAAGTTGGATCCTAAGTGATTTGGGCATAGTTACACAATATCATAACCATTTCCTCTCTATTTGTGTTCCAAACATACATCTCTTCAGGTCTATGAGAAGTCTCAAAGCTTGTGTGAACTGTCTGAAAAAGGATTTCCTTCACTTCTCGATTTTTGTTTGTTTTTGGGTGCGTAATAAATAATGAACTTTAAAACGTTTGATCTGAGAAGCCAACGGAGCTGCTCCTGCAATCACAGAATGTAAAACTGTGAACACATTTTCTTTGTCCACTGATAAACTATTAACCAAAGTGCCCAAATAAACCAAAGTAAGTTGAGTGCAGCAGGAACAGCTGCCAATATAAAAAATTAGGAATCCACAGATAAAACCTATCAACTATGAAATTTAAATGAAGGGAAATGTCAACACCTTGTGGAAAAATTAATTTATATGCAAAATTACCCTATAGCAAAAGCCACTCTAACATTTCCAGACAGTTATTAACGGGCACTAATTCAGCCTGAGGCAAACTTGACATGGGCATTTCAAAACAAAGAGGTTCCCTTTTTTTTTCAAGGAAATTAATCATGAGCCTATAAACTTCAAAAACCTCATCACAGCTTAAGAAGGAACACTTTTCTTTGTTACATGATTCCTTATATTAAAAAAGGAACACAAAACATTTCAAGAATGGCCCTCCCCTACCCCCAATTACCGATATTTTACTGTCTGTCAAAAGAAAGCTACTAAGGGTCTAATCCAAACCAAGTGAAGAAAGTGGGAGCCTTTGGCTCAAGTCTTAAACCTAACCTGAAATCTTAATTTAATTATACAGGTAGGGGAGTAATTACAAAGCCATGAACAGAACAGAAGCAGAGAAGTTAAAAATTGAGATAGGTATCACAAGAAAGTTGATAAAATTGAGGAGAGTGCGGAATGCAAGGACTGGATTGTATATCTGTTACTAACACTAACGAGCACCCACATAACCACTCCTACCCAAACTACTGGGATAACCAATGTGAGTAATGGCTGGATAATCAAGTTACAGCTATAAGCTTGTTCTCCCCCTTCAGGTCCCTCCCATACCAGTGTATCACTTAAAAGTGTTGACAAAAAAGTTAACTTCATTTCCTATCTTTAGTTCTGTAAGTCAGGGTTATAGAAGTTAATACCCTGTTCAAGGACAAGTGGGAGAATCTAGCAGTATCCTTGTAGAGAAATGCAAATAACAGCAGAAACTGCTTCAAACAAATACCTGATTTGCATTGTGGGCAGCAGTCTCCCTTTACCTCCACTGCCAGGCTGCCCAGTGGGCAAGACGGACAAGAGCGGTGATAGCAGATCACCTGGGTGTCCCGGCATTCACATTCTTTGCACAGGCCTTCTTTCCATTTCTCTCCATTCTGCACAAGACAACATTGAATGTCTGTGTTACTGCTCTGTTCTCACTGCAGAGATGTGGAGTTCTGCAACAAGACTGAATCCCCACCACGTTGCATGTTATAAGCCACAGTGGGTTTGACAGCTAGTCTAGGACTAGGTATCATATCACCAGTAATGGGACAGCCTTTGCACAAGATAGATAGTTTTTTGATTTACAACAATCCCAAAATAAACCAGCAAATCTAACACAGGGGTAATGATCATCAGCCCTATTCTTACAAAACAGAAGGAATATTGCTGTACCAGACCATATCAGCACTCCCATCTTGGCGAAAATCCTGTCCCCAAGAACAGCCAGTAGCAGATACTTCAGAGAGAAAGGTATCTTTATTTTCCTACAGACTGGGAAAGTTACTTTGCCTAATCATTGCCAGTTAGGTGTGGGCTCATGGTGCTTTGCTTGCCATGGAATCTTTTATTGCATCCAATGTAACGTTATACATTCTCATTACACATGCAAATAGATGAGCCGTTTTTAAACTTTCTGTGATCTTGTTCTCAGTTATACAGAGCTTTGTATTGCTCTGTATTGTGGAATTGCTTTCTTTTGTCATTTCTAAGCGTACTGCCTTTCAGTTTTATTGCATGCCTCCTTGTTCTCACATCATGAACAAGAATAAATAGTAGGAACACCTGTTTGCTTTCTCTGGTCTTTCCTAAGTAGTTAGACTTAATTTAGACCTCACTAATGTATCTTACAGTTTCCAACATCCCTTCCAATGTTCATCATTCTTTGTTGGGAATGAATTCCATCTGCCCTTTTGCCTAACTTTATCACCCCAATTTTCTGTAGGTCTGATTAATGACAGAATTTCACATCATCTCAAAAGATTACCACCGCACTGACCCGTTCTGCAGTTCATTAACAATAATTTTAAATAAAAACAGTCACATGACAGTGTCTACAGTCACTGTTAATCTTTTACCATGGGAAAAACAGACAGATCAAAAGGTTACAATCTTCTTTCAGAAAACACTAGCCTGAGGACAGGAACAATATATGCTCCTTTCTCTATATCTAGCTAGTTTCACTAGCCAGTGAAGAGGGAAACAGGACCATTTCATACCTGTTCCCTACCTTGTCTGGGGGGACCTGTACCTATGGGACCACTAAAATAGAACCATTTCTTCATTTAGTACATGCAACTGTGCTAAGCCCCAGAATAGGTGGATGGTATATGCATGAACCAGGCAAAGAGTGATGCTTAGATGACTAGAGATCCTTTGTGTGGATTTCTCTAGTAAAAAAAGCCAGTGGATCCAACACAATATGCAATATACTCACCTTGATACGCTTTCCCTCACTTGTATCAGAGAAAAAAATCTAAGAAAGGAAATAGATAAGTTGCCGTTTAGAAAAAAAACACATTAATTTTCCATTGCCCACATCTGTTAGAGCTTTTCATCTCTACTTATGTAGTAATAAGCAGCATTACTCATTTGTCAGAATCATGTAAGATCTGCTATTGCACATCAACCAAAAAAAAGTAAGAGTCAATTTTAGAAAAAATTTCTTGAAAATATACATAAATAATGGAGTCCTATTGCAGAAAAAAATGCTCAATAAGTTATGCATTCAAAAAGTAAGCTTTAACGGTGCAGTTCGCAAAGGAATGTAATGAAAGTTAGACATCTTAAAACTGGGGGAATGCACTGAAAACTTAGGGGTATGTACATTAAACAATAAAGAGGCATGATAGGGGAAAGCAAGCAAATTTAATAAATGTAATAAAAAATCTTTGATAGATATACACAGTGCAGAAAAGTAAAAATAAGCAGATTTTATACAATGTAAAAAGGATAAATAATATCAGTGGAGTTTTCCTTTGTAAGTCTCAACTAAGAATGTTCTCGCTAGACCTGTAGGACACAGCCCATTTTCCAAATCTTCACAGGCTTACCACCCTGCACTGCATATTCCAAATTACTGGGCTACTTACATCTTTGGTATGTTCTTTGTAAACACAGTAACTATCACTTGAAACACATTCAGGACAGCACTTTCCCTCTAAATGAATTAATTCTTCACCCTGTGGAGAAAGGTTGGAGCAATACAGATAGAATTAGCATTACCTAAACACACCATGGAATGCAGAGACAAGAGAGGTTATTGCACTGGAATGCAATCTTCCATATCTAATTTCACCCTTATCTTTCCTACATCCTACTTCATCTCTGTTTGTACATTCCAAAAAATGTGTTTAACTAACATTGTGGTTGTTGAACAAAACCCAGAAAAGGTCAGGAACTTCACCAAAAAGACCAGTGCTTTGTCCCTGGCTTCTTTTATCATGTTCTTTGTTTTATTTTTTGTTCTTGAAGAAAAAGATAAAAGTTTTAAGATCCTCATGGGAGAGCTTAAAATATATAGGATTTTTAACTAAGATAAAAAATGCAGCACTTGCTTACATCTGTGTAAATCCAGAGAACTTACTAAAGTTATACCAGTGTATCAGAACAACTACTTAGCTGTAAGACATAGCAACAGGGCATCTGTCTGACTGTTCACAGTCTATTGTGTATGAATGGAGGTGAAACACTTATGGGAGAAGAAAGGTAGTCTTGTGTTTAAAGAGCTCAAATTATAGACTCAAGGGAGCTAGATTCAATTCCTGGCTATGCCTGGGTTTTCTAGGTGACATTTTATTTCACAGAATCATAGAGAAGTAAGGGCTGAAAGGGATCTCAAGATGTCATATAGTCCATAGTTTCTTAACCTATGGTACATGTACCCCTGGGGGTACGCAAGACACAGGCAGCAGGTACGTGGGTACCCCAACACTCACTCTCTCTCTCTCTCTCTCTATCGCCCCTTCCTCCTCTCAAAATTATGGCAAAACACTTAAATTTAAATAATTTGGCATGCCGCACAAAGCTCTCCTAGCTTTGGCCAACATCACCTCTAGCCCAGGTACATACTTGAGTTGTGCACCGCTGGTGTAAAAGGTGGCAACCCTTCCCCCACCAGATCAGACATCTGTCATACCACGGCCTTATATACACAGCCCTTCTTCCAACATCTGGCACACATTAGTCTGTAAATATAAAATCTCTTGGAAAATTGAGTGTTGGGATACTTATTAAAATTTTCAGAAGTTAGAGGGTACTTGCTACTTAAAAGGTTGATCTAGTCCAACTCTCTACCTGAGGCAGGTTATTTGTATAAGATAGTTTGGTCTCTATCCAAACTATCCTATACAAATCCACTGTCTAACTTATTAGCAAATCTACAATCAACCCTGACACAGTACAAGTCATAACACCCAAACCTGCCACAGGTAAAGCAGCGGACCACAGCAGCCAACGTTCTGTAAAACGTTGTTAATATACGTTCAAAAGATCCCAAATCCCTGTTACAGAGAAAATCAAAAATCCCCACAGCCTACACTGATCTGACCATGGGGTAAACTTCCTTCCTGGCCTCAAATTTGCAGTAAGATTCCTTTGTGCTATTACGGTCATAAAAATAGACCTTCAGATAGCTGTAGATGTATGAAAACAAATCAGAACAGACACTTTAATTCTAAAGGAGAAGTGGCCGTGCACAGACCTGTACCAAAAGAACAATAGGTATGATTTCACAGCTCATTTAGCTAGTTTGGGGAAAAACTGGTGCGATGAAAGGATATTTCCACATTACTCAGTCTTGGGGTAGTTTAGTGATTCTCCACCTTCTTAGATTCAAGGCACCCCTCAGAAAATGCCAGCTCTTAGCTTTCACTTATTTCTTGACTGAAGGAAAAGAATAGAGCAATTCTTCTGTCGAAAAGAACTCAGAAAGACCACAGCAGGTCAGAATGGTTTTAACACTATGGACTCCTATTTGAAATCTCTAGGTTTATCTTGCGAATCATGTTTGCACACCTACCATGGCTAACTAACACTGAGTGGCACCTCATGGCACCCTTGAGAAACTCTCAAAGCACCTCAGGGTAATGACTGTGAAAGCCTGGCCAGACCTACACTTGAAATTTAAATGACCAAATTAAAATAACAGTGCATCTTGCACAAGAATGCAAGATCATGACTGGAACCATGCAAAACAGAGCAATCCCAATTGGTTTCATCTTCTGTGATAGTTGCAAAGGTACCCAATGTTTTACTATGCTAAACTATTCATAAATATCCTCATACCCCTACGTGACTGTATCCTGGTTGACATATTCCCCCTTAATTAAGGCATATTTCTCAAAACAGGCATTCAATGTCTGTCTGGGGTTTTGCAAATGTTTCCATATAGACCATCACCATGCAGACTATTGTAAATGTAAATTCTAACCCATTTTTAAAATTATTATCCAAAGTACAGTGTCCTGTCATTAATGCCCCAAGGTATTTCGTTCAGTCAATCAAGATCCATCTTCAGTCAATCAAAACCCATCCTACTTGATTAAAGTGTAACCTCCGGACTGATCAAAAGCTTGCAAAAACAAGTTTCACACCTGGATAACTAGAAACAAGATCCTCGCAGTTAGCAATGGTAATGTGATGGTCCCATCCTACCTCCTTTGTTCAGACTTTAATTGACCAACTATCAAGAAGGAATGCTTTGAAACTGTACAATTAAACAGTATAAGAACAAAACAGAGTTGCCAAGAAAGTGTGTGCATTCCAGGAGAGACAGAGAAATCATTCTGTACCCAGCCATTCACCTCCTGAGCAACAGATCCACGCTCAGTGTAGGCTGACAAGACTGAAAATGGCTTTCTGCCTGCATCAGTGAAAAACTGTCTTGCAGTTAATAAAGACTAGGACTTTTAAGATAGTTCACTTACTGAATGTAGGAGAAGAGTCTCTTGCTGTCATTTAGTTTTTATAGTTCGTGTACAGTATTGCTATTAACCAAATGAGGTGTTGTATCAATCCTTAACTGCATTAGGTTTGAATCCCGCTTTTGACTGCAACACAGGGTGTCATGGCATCCAGGCTGAAAATTACTGGCCTAACTGACCTCCAATTATGAGGAAGTTGTTCTGCATATGAGTGATGCTAAAAATTACTGGCCAGCCAGTGAGGTTTCCTACAAATGGAGTGAAGAAAAGAATTCACCTGGTGAATTCTTAAGATTACATTAACTGTCTTTAGATTCAAAGGCATCTACGAGTCCACCCTGGTGTGCCAAAACTGAAGTTGGGTTCTTCCAGGGCTCAGAAGTGAGAGGCACCCTGCAAGATAGGTAGGTCATTTGTAACAAGGAGTTACTTATTACATTCAACATAAAGAATGCTGGAAGGAGGTGAAGGGTGGGAAGGGCAAACTGAGGAAGAAAATGCCTTTGTACACATTCAGATATACAGATGCACTACTTCAGATCTCCCCGATATTTCTGGTGCACAAAAGTAATTAGTGTAGCCTGCCAGGAAAAGAGAAATGCAGTGCAACACAAGGACTTAATTTAATTTCCTCTTTTTCTTCCTAATATCAGGGCCATCCTGGAAGAGAACTAGGTGCATTTTAGTTAACAGCCCATTCATCCCTCTGATGTAATGAGATACTCCTGGGATTGATTAGACAGTTTAGAGACAGATTCCAAAGTGGGATATTATCAAAATACAGTATCAGACATTCTTAGGTAGGGCTCAGTCTTATCTTCCGCCACCCATAACCTGTCCTTTTCAGAAAGGTCCCTGAATGCTGTCTCTATAGCACTTCATGGGAGGGAAGGTGGGAACTAATATTAAGGATTATGAGATGCTTCTGAAAATTAAAGTGCTTTTGATTGAACAAATTGACTTCAGCAACCATGCTTTCACAACACGCTAGGCAACTTCCCGGGGAGACTCACAGCTGATCTGCTGAGAATTCATGTTCTAAAATTAGCACAAAAATCATCACTGACAGATTCACTCAACCGTTCCTGGAAAGGTTTGCTTGAAAGAGTTTAAAAACTGAGCCCTAGTTCCAGCCATGTAATGCTGATATGCTACATCTAGCTGCCTGGGATTTGTGTGGCCTCATTATACTTTACACAGGGTTGCGTGACTGGAAGATTAATAGCCCACTCATGAAGGTCTGAATCCTAGAGTCTCCCAGCTTTACTGTAGCTATGATTTACTGAGGTAGGTGTCTAAAAATCACTAATTTTGTTGGCAGAGCTGAACCCCAGAGAGGTAGAGGGAAAAGTGTGAACCTCTCTGCTTAAAGATTAAATATTTCATTTAAATAAATCAAAGCAGATCCTGTGCTGCGGAGATGGCATAGGGCTGCCACAGACCTGATAAAGCTGCTTCACCTTTTGAAGATGTCATGTGGGATGCAAGTCTTTGGGCAAAGATTTTTTACTTCCTATATTTTAGGACCATAATTCTTGTCCAATATAAGGGGAATTTTTCCCCCATTCCTTTGGATTGTTGTATTTTACTGATTTAATGGTAGCACAGGGCATCCTGAAATCACACCACTTATTCAGATCCCTAACCAGAGTTTTAGATGCCTAACTTGGCGCACAAAGGTTTGAAAACACTGACCATGGACCTCACTTTTGTGATGTTCTGAGTGCCCTTAACTCCCACTGAATTCCATGGAATTCAACAAGAATTAAGGGTACCCTGTATTATGCAGGATCTGTTCCTAAAGCAGGACACATTATCTCCAACAGAAAAGGAAAGAATCTACTTTGTCGGTGCAAATTAAATCTGCTACTTTATATATTTGCTTATGAATCAGCACATTTATTATACTTCTGTAAAGCAACTGGAAACTTCGGACTGCCTCATATTGGGCTGAACCCTGAAAGTGGTAAATTTGTTTTCAGCTACAATGCAACATATTCCAAATGGTACTTAATACTGGCTTCTTTCTCAAGCATACTAGTGAGTATTCAAGATCTGATTTATAGTGTAACTGTAATATAATTAGTCATCTTCTCTTGATGAAAGAAGTAATGCTTTTGCTAGTGTGATTTCCCATAAGTCTCCTCATGAACCCTGCCTCATCATTGTATGAGGAAAGGAGGCAGGTCAGAATATCTAGCAGCTAATAACTTTGTCAGTATTTTGTTTTGTACTTTTAGCAAAGGTCAATGGTAAAGTTCTTCACAACTACTTGCAGAACTGGCTGTATCTGATCTACTCTGTCCACACCAAGTCAACTCTTGGGGGGGGGGCACGTTTTCATTGAAACCAATGACAGCTGTTGAACTCAGACATGTGCTTGAGCTTTAGTTACAAAGCAGAAGGGGCCAGTGATTAGAGACAAACAGTGATTCACCTTAGCATCCTGTATCACAATGCAAAACAGCCAAACTGCCTGCCTTGTCCATCCCTGAATCATAGAAAATTAGGGTTCAAAGGGACCTCAGGAGGACATCTAGTCCAACTACCTACTCAAAGCAGGACCATCCCCACCTATATCAACCCAGCCAGGGCTTTGCCTAGTCTGGTCTTAAAAACTTCCAGTGATAGAGATTCCACAGCCTCTCTGGGTAACCTGTTCCAGTGCTTTACTACCCTCCCAGGGAGAAAGTTTTTCCTAACATGTAACCTAAACTTCCCTTCCTGCAACTTGAGACTATTGCTCCTTGTTCTGTCACCTGCCACCACTGAAAACAGTCCAGCTCCATCCTCTTTGGAACAAACCTTCAGGTAGTTGAAGGCTGCTTCTCCCCCCCACCCCCACAGTCTTCTCTCCTCCAAACTAAATAAGCTCAGTTCTCTCAGCCTCTTCATATAAGTCATGTGCCCCAGACCTCTAACTATTTTCATTGCCTTCTGCTGGACTCTCTCCAATTTGTCCAAATCCTTTCTGTAGTGGGGGGTCCAAAACTGGACACAGTACTCAGGATGTGGCCTCACCATTGCTGAATAGAAGGGAATAATCACTTCCCTCAATGTGCTGGCAACAGCCCTACTAATGCCCGGTATGCTGTTAGCCTTCTTTGCAACAAGGGCACATTGTTGACTCATATTCGGCTTATTGTCCACTGTAATGCCCAAGTCCCTTTCTGCACAGCTGCTGTTTAGCCAGTCAGCCCACAGCCTCTACTGGTGCATGGGATTGTTCTGTCCTAAGTGCAAGACTTCACACTTGTCCTTATGGAATTTCATGAGATTTCTTTTGGTCCAACCTTCCAATTTGTATAGGTGTCTCTGAATCCCAGCCCTACTCTCCAGTATATATACTGCTCCCCGCAACTTGGTGTCATCTACACACTTGCTAAAGGTGCACTCTATCCCATCTTTCAGGACTTTGATGAAGATATTGAACAAAACCATCCCCAGGACTGACCCCTTCGGCATTCTACTTAATACCAGCTGCCACCTAGACATTGAGCCATTGATTACTACCCTTTGATCCCTACAATCCAGCCAGTTTTCTATCCAATGTAAAATCTGAAGTCCATTTCCTCTCTATCTTCTGCTCAGTGCTTTTAAGGCAGAAGGGTAAAACAGGAATTGAAGGATCTACCATGACCAGATTCTTAAACTGTGTCAAGAAAAGTCAATCAATTAAAGAAAAAAATAGGATTTCATCTGTATGTTTTAAAAGAAGAAATCGTTTCTTACCCAGGCACACTCCACTTTGGCACACTCTGCATTCTGGCAAGTGACTTGCCCTCCATCACACATGCAGAACTCACAGTGAGTGCCATTCCACATCTCACTGTGGTACCTGACGATGCCTTCAGATAAGCAGATGCCTTTGGAAGATACACACTCCTCACAACACTTCCCTGGACGCTGCACTTTGTTCTGATCCTAAAAAACACAAATATTTACTGAGTTCTGTCCCCTGAACCATCATTAAGTACAAGATGAGTGATACATATAGCCTGATCTGTATATCTGACTTACCTTCTCACAGGTGATTGGGGCACAGGCCTGTCTTACACATCTGGCTTCCCCTCTATGACATATACAGGTAGTGCAGGGATTTCTCTTCCATTGCTGACCATGCTGTCCAAAGAGAAGATCCATACTTATGTGAATAATAACAATCACTGATATCCAAATCAGGTTCTACAGTGTATATTTTTCATTGGGCACACTGGGTTGCATGTGTGTGCCCATATCCAAGCACAGTATTTTTTAAAGAAAGAAGATATATCCCATTATAAGCAAATATAAAGAAAAAAAAGAGAAGACTAGGTAGACTCCACAATGTGTATATCTCAAACTGTTAGGAAACAGTCACTAATCTTCCCAAGAACTTAATTATTATTATGAACAAATATTTATTCATAATAAACCTTCCTTTGTATACATCACTAAATATATTAAATGCATTCCAAGTGATACAAAGAATGATATGACTACAGTAGGATTCATCAATCATTTCTGCTTTTCCCCTTTAAAAAGACGGATACATAGTAAACACCTTATCTACTTATCTACTTCACCCTGTCAACCTGGTCACTGCTTGCCAACAGATTCCTTTCCTATTTTTAATCCCTTTCAACTCCTTTACCTTCCCAGAGAGAAAAGGCAGCTGTTGCATCAAGTTAGTTATGCCGGCTAGAAGTCAGATGTGAGGGAAAGGAAATCGGAGAAAAGTCAGTACTTAGGTCAGGCTGGCTTTTGGTGTGGTTCATCAAAGGTTACCTTGTATGCTTCTCCAGATACAGAGCAGGGTTTTGGAACACATTCTGGACAACATTTTCCAGGAGTTACAATCATAACTTCATCCTAAAGATGAATTGAAACAAAAAAAAATAACTGTTTGAAAATTAAAACTGTGGCCTAGTAGTCCATGCCTGTAACTTCCATGCTAACCAGCAGCCACTCAGCCCTGAATTACAGTAAAAAATGTGGGGTCTTCTTTATACTTTACCATCCAAATAATGGACTTGGCACAAAGTTATCCTCCAAAATAGCAGATTTTGGGTTTCTTTAGATAGCCAGTGACTTAGAAACCAAAGAAGAGAGAGAGAGGTACATGGTGTAGATCAGGGCTGTCCAACCTCTGAGTGGCAAGGGGCAATAAGGCACAGGGTTACACTGTTTCCCCCCACGGCAGGGGTTGTGGGGAGCCCATGCAATGTGAGCCATCAGGACTCCCTGGGTTCTCCCACCAGGCAGGCCTGAGGAGCTTTCCCTTGCAGAGTTACAAGATCCTGTGCTATCAGGAAGACTGCATGATTCTTCCTCAGTTCTGGCTCAGTCAAAGAGCATGGAGGGCTAAGAACTAGCAACCCAGTTCTATCTCTTTAATTACACACACTACTACCTTACCTCATGGACAGTCACCAGAGGGTGTGGTAGCAAAATCTGGTAGTGCTACCGTCACTAGAGGGTGGGTAGCAAAATCTGGTCCTACAAGCTCTTTGAAGAAACAGAAAAAACTGACAAAATAGCTGATTCCCTCCCTTGAGGCAGATAACAGGCCAGAGGCAGGATCTGAAGGATGGCAAAATGACCACTTTCTACTGATTGCCATTTTGCCAGAATTAGCATCTGGGAGAAGTTTTTCATTTGTATGTTCTGGTGGGAAATGGGACCCAGAAGCAGCAGTACAAGTATAACTACAAACAATGCAGAGAAGAGCAGAACAAGAGGGAGTGGTACACGATTGTTGCAGTTGCTACTAAGGCCTTTTCCATTACAGCATCTTGTTAGGAAATCTACGGAACATTTTCCGAATTACCTAAGAGGGAGTTTTGCTGTATTAACTTGGATGCTTTTAGCTGATTATTCTAGACATGTCATGACAACAGTGTACTCATTCCAGTTTTTCCAAATTAAGGTTTAATGATTAGCTGACTAAACATTACTGTAACTGATCAATGAATAATATGTGTACATTTGGGGGGGAATCCAAATCTTGCATAAATTTTCTTTAATACACAGCACTTAATCTCCAAATATTAATTACACATCTCAGCACAAAACAGCAAGTGCTTAGTATGCAGAAAAACAGGTGGGCTTTCTTTCAAAGGCCAATGTTAATTATATGAACACCTGGGCCCCTGGTATATAGGTGGGTGAGCATTAAAAGAAGAAAGGGTTTGTAACAGGGGTTTTGCTTTCTGCAATGCTATCCTGGCAACCTGCTTAACCACATCTCACCCATCACAGGAGCTGGATTTCTGGGTTGATTACTGGAATGCACTAGGTGGTTAAAAATCAAGATAACTGTAGTACCCTGAGACCTAGAGTAGAGCAGAACAATGGGAACTCCCAAGGAGCAGATTTTGCAAAGGAGTCAGCAATGCAGAATCACAGAAAAAAAAGGTTGGAAGGGGCCTTGGGAGGTTACCTAGTCCAATCCCCTTCTCAAGGCAGGATCATTTGTGTCTAAACCATTCTACAAAAATGTCCGTCTAACCTTGCACTTAAAACATTCAGTAGGAGAGATTCCACAGTCTCCATACATGATCTGTTCCCCTGCTTTACCAGCTTAAAAGTTAAAAAATTCTCCCTCCTGTATAACTTAAATCTCTCTTGTTGCAATTTAAGGTCATATTGTTTCAAACAAGCTTGGGAATCCTGGGAAACGTGACCTAAGGAAACCAATAAAAAAGAAATCCACCATTATCTATTGCAGAGGTGCTTAGCCTGCAGGTCAGATCCTGCCCACAGAGCTCAACTGCTCTCAAATATCCAGACTCAGGGGAGCCTGGCAGATAACATGGCCCTGAATGTCAGATCACACCTGGGCATGAACAGATCCAGGTGTGCAAGATTGGTCTTGTGTGCTGGATCACACCCCACAACCAACCCCAAGTAGAATCCAGATGGGGGGGTACCACTGATCTACTCCACTCTCTTAGCACTTCTTGTTTGTAAACTAACATAGAATACAATTCATTAAAGCACTGTATACTGTGGAAATCACTCTAAGTATGCTCTAGATTTTTTATATTATCCAGATATTGATAAGTTAATTATCAGTGTTAATTAGCATTTGGAATGTATAGATTTGAGGGAATGACAAATTAACATTTTAAGCAAAAAGCTGGGAACCAAAAGCACTTTCATTCTGTAATATGGGTGATAATCAGGGATCCGGGTTTTCCGTTTCCCACAGAAAAAATGGAGAAAAGCACGGATTCCCTGTTTTTATGGGAGAAAACATGGATTTGCCTTGTTAGCAGAGAAATCCTCAGATTCTCCGCTTTTGCAAAGAGCTCTCGCAGGCTGCCACAGCTCCAGCCTGCAAGAGCCAACTGAAGAAAGGGTGGGAAACCCCCAGCCGTGCCTGGAGAGGGAGCAAAAGTGGGGAGAGCAGGGCCTGAGCCTCTGAGGCAGCCAAGGCTGGGCTCAGGCTCAGACTTGTCCTTTGCCCCTGGAGCCTAGAGGTAAGTGGGGCTATGGGGCAGGGCTGGGGAAGATGGCTGGGGCCTGAGGGAGCAGGGGGTGCTACCAGCCCCAGGCGACACACCACAGCTGGAAGCAGGGCCATGCGGTGAGGGCAGAGGAGATCCGGGGGGGCTGTGAGGGGCTTCGCAAGCAAGTGATGCGGGGCCAAGTATGGTGGTGCCCGCCACTTGCGGGCCGCACACATGCCACCCAGCCACCTGCCCAGGGGAGGGGGAGGAGGCGGCTCGCATGCAGCTGGCTGCACAGCTCTGCCCCCCCACTCCCACTACCAGCACGCAGCTGCTACCACCCTTCACCACCACAGAGCCATGCAGCCAGTCGTGGGCCATAAGCAGTGCTGCAGTGGCGGCTGCTGCATACAAGCCCCCCTTCCCGCCCCCCGGCTGGGCGGCATGTATGTGGCCCACACACAGTGGTTGCCACCGCATGGCTGCTGCCATGCCCTGCACCACTTGCCCACAAAGCTATGCAGGTGGCCGTGGGATGCTAGTGCAGGGTGCAGTGGCAGAGTTGCAGTGGCGGCCTCTGTGTGTGAACTCCTTGTCAGGCCGGCCAGCATGTGTGGCCCACAGAGTAGCACCCTGGCCCTCACCCCCTGGCCCTGCTCCTGGAAGTGGGCACAGGGGCATGCTCTCCCCTTCTTGATCTACCCCCCAGCACCTTCCCTTTTGCCCGCCCTACACCGCCCCTTCCCCCACACACACTTACCTGGGGTGGGTGTTAGTGTCTGTGTCTGCACGTCTGTGCCTGCGTGTCTGTCTGTGGGTCTGGGGGGCTGTTGTGAGGGGCATCAAGAGAACTGTTGAGACTGTGGGAGTGCAGGGCACCAGTAGCACTGGGAGGAGGGCTGGGGGGGGTCTTTACTTTTTATCACAGATTTTGGGGTTTTAATCAGAGAATTTGCAATTTTTAATCAGAGAAAACCAGGATCCCTCGTGATGACTTCTGGGGTGAACATGAGCAAGTAAGTAACCTACCAGTGTTACTGGCTTCCAGGTTTTGGTACTAAGCATTACAGCAGCGTATCACCCCTTGGTGAGATGTATTCTAGAGCTGATTCAAGATTTTTAATTCAAAGCATTTCTTGGACAAAAGGATGACTTTTTGGCCAAAATGGTCATCTCATTTGAGAAATATCCATTTTTTATTACATCTGGGGACTTCTTAACAAAAAATTACCAACCAAAATACTTTAGCTGAAAACTGAAATGTTTCAACAAATCTTCTGAAGAAACATAAGTTCTGTTAAAACTTTTCTGCTTTCATCAACTTTTTTTTGGAACAAAAATATTTCTTGACCAGCTCTACAGTATTCACAGTATTAAAAAAGCGAAAGCAGAGTTCACAAGTTGATATTATAACTTTTCAGATTAGATTCATAAGCACATACATGGCAAAGTTCAGGGGGTCTTTTTATTTGGTAGGTTGGCTTTGTTGTTTTATTTTTAACACTTCAAGGAGTTCCTTTTCCTAATGCTTTTTCTCCCAGTAGTAACTCTTGACAACATGATCTTGTGAAAAGTGTCCACTTCCCACAAAAAGAGAAACCTGACAGTGCTGCTCTTACCCTGCTGCACACCACAGGCCGACATTCTGCTGTGAAGCACTGAGTTGCTCCATTCCTGCAGACACATTTGGAGCATGGGCTGAGCTGCCACTCCTCACCATCCTGGAACATTTGGCCGTCAAAGGAGCAGGACTCTGAGAGACATTTAAGACATTCTGTGTTTCCATTTTCAGCCTTCCTTTAATTCTCTCCCCCTCCTCCCTCCATTACACATCTTTAATCTCAGATCCATCCTTTCCAAGCTTTAGGAACTACGGACCACTTAAATACCCAGCAATAACAGCAGAGTATGACTTTTCTTGCAGGCCCCAACTGGCTGCACAGCGCAGTGTTCACTGGTACACAAAATACTTCCGGTTTTCCTCCTTCCGCCAGTCAATGAGTTATGAATTTGTGGGAATATAACAAAGAATTATAGATACATGACTCCACCGATAAGCATTTTCAGCAAGGAAGGAACATTCCCCTGAAGGTGAATTATACTTATTAGAATACTAAAATACATGCCAGCAGTGACATTTATTTATTGCCAGTTTGTTTCTGATAGCATCTGCAATGCATTAGATGTTTCCTGAACACAAAAAAAGTAAAATTCTTGCTCCTATAAGCTTCTAGCACAGTCTGGTCACTCCTGTCCTTACTGATGTTTGTGGGCAAAAGACTTCATCTTGAAATTGCCACAGCTGGCCTTAGAACATACTCCAAGATCTAACATCTGTATATAAGGTTACTAGCCATAGGCGGTATGCATCTTTGCACAGTCCAATAAGTCCCTATGGCTACAAAGAGACTAGTCATCATCTAGTCTAACTTCCCGTATAACATAAGACTTCAATTTTCACCCTGTTCCTCTAGTACTGAGTTCAACAATTTGATATGACTATGGCACATCTTCCAGAAATACATCTAGATCCTGACTTAAAGACACCGAAAAATGTCTTTTCTCACCAATTTGTTCAAGTAGTTAATCACCACCACTGTTTGTTCCATATCTCATTTAAAATTTGGCTGGCTTCAGCTTCCAGCCATTAATTTCTGTCATGCCTTTTGCTCCTACTTTAAAGAGTCCTGGTATTTTTATCTCAGAAGATGCTATGCACTATAATGAGGTTACATCTCTTTTAATTTTGGTAAACTAAACTAACAAAGTCTCTTACTCCAAGGCACTTTCTCCATTGTGTACTGCTTTGCAGCCTCTCCAATTTCAACATCTTAAACTGCAAACATCAGGACTGGACACAGTATTTTGGTACAGGTCCCTCTAGTGACACGTACTGAGATAAAACCACTTCCTTTCTCCTACCAAATACTCCTATCCATGCATCCAAGGACGGCACTAGCCAGTTTGACTACAGCATTACACTGGTTAGTTCATGTCAAGTTGCTTGTTCTCTGTGATCCTTAAATCGTTTTCAGAATTACAGCTTCCAAGGGCAGTGTTCCCTAGGTTGCAAGTACGCCCTGTATTCTTTGTTCCTGCATGGTGTCATTAACTATTAAATTGTGGCTTGTTAGCATGGGCACAGTAAACTAAGTGACTCAGACTGTGCTGTATAACCGCCCTTTCTTTGCTAACTATCACTCGACCTATCTTTGTTTCAGCTGCAAATATTAAAGCAGCACAGATTTTATATTTACTTCCAAATCCCTGATAAAATGTGGAATAGCATCAGGCCTAGAACCAATCACTATGGAACCCCACTTGAAGTGTTCACCCTTCTATTATGATTGACAAGTCTTCTGGCAGGTGCTTTTGGAGGTCTGTCAGTCAGTCAGTCCCTAACTTAGTATGCAAATTATTCAAGTAGTTTAATACTATTTTTTAATTATTATGTTGCATGGTACTAAGCCAGACACCTTGCAGAAGCACCTTCTAGCACATTGGTGCAGTGACGCTCTTCAACCACACTTGTAATCTCATCAAAAAATGAAGTCAGGTTTCTCTGACGAGACAATTTGTGTGGTGTCGACTGTGCTGGGAAGATGTACTCTGAAGAGTACAACTGCTGACACTCAAATTTTACATGATTCCTTTACATGATATTTTGCATTTTAAGTTAGCTGAAAAGTTGAGCCTGTTCTGCTTGGGTATCATAAATTATGCCACGGTGTAAGAGGCAATCTTATGCCACTGTGTAATGGACAATCTTGTCACTTACAGAGCAAAGACAAAATCCAGCTCCAATACCAAAGGCTTCAACTCCACTGGATTCAGGCACATCGTAAGAGATTCCCTCATTTACAGCCAGGCATTTGGTTCCTAGGTTCTATCAGGTGTATTAAGTATGCAGCTACAAAAGCATACCTAAGTTTTATGGCACTGGGGAATTTCAGTTTCTGAAACAGTTTTTGTGCAAGTTTTAAAGATGACATAATGTGTCTCAAAACTCAAAGGCCTGATTTATCGGCAATAAAAAACATCAATAATTCCACCAGTATTCAGGAGGCTTTGCCTTTTAGATTGAGGCTGGGATTTCACAGGCCTAACTCTCATTTAATTTTAATGGGAATTGGGCATTTAGATGCCTTGGGTCGAATCTGAAACCTCAGCCTTCATCAACACATAGATTCATAGATTCATAGATTAAGGGTCGGAAGGGACCTAGTAGATCTTCTAGCCCGACCCCCCGCCAGGGCGGGAGAACAACAAAAAACCCCAAAAAGAGAAACGGGACTCAAA